CAAAGATACGCATCGCCAGACCAGCCGCCTTGCCCCATACGGGACTACAAAAGTAGCTGTGTCTCACCACTCTGAATTGAGGCACTAAAGCCTATAGACGCCGGAAGGAACCAGGCCTGCCCGGATGGCTGGACGGACGACCTAGAATAGTTCTGCCGAGTATCAGTGCCAACAACCGCACAGGGACACTTCTTATCGTTCACCAGCGGTATGTCGCAACGGAGTCTTGTGCAGACGATGCCAATATCGACACGGATACTGAGTCATTGCCTGAAAGTCATGGCCGGGACCAGGATGTTGGCACATCAGCAAGAGCGCGTGATGCGAGCGGTTTCTAAATTCTTCGCGCCTAGAGCGCTTCGCCCCTCGCCGATTGATTGGTCTTGTCACGGAAGTGGCGTCAATCCTGGATCGCAAAGGCTACGATCTGGTCGGCGAGGTCGGTTCGACGCCCCTCGATCAGGCAGGCTATCATTAACCATTGGATCCGCATCGGGATAAAATAGGAGACCAGTCTCGACAACCTGGTCATGTTGTTCGACGGCAGAGTGACCATTACCGTCTGGTACCAAGGAGTACCTAACGTGTAATGTACGTTGGGCTCTGAAGACATCTTGTTGCCCTCCTGCCTTAGCTACGCCTGCCTCCTTGTCAATCCTGCCTTGACAGAGGCTACACAGACGCGGTCCCGATGTCATCGCGTGAGCCTGCCTTTGTGAGACAAGGACGACACCGGACGCCAAGATCGAGCGTGGGCAGTCGATGCCTCGATGCCGGGATGCTGGGATGTTGATGCCGCCAATTGATTCCGGAGACTTCGGAGCCTGTCATTTTAAGGTTTACGGATACGACCGTGGGTGTTCCGCATGTGGCTGACATGCGCCGGCTGTCGACCCGGATGCACCCTCCCATGCACTCTGCACCATGCACATTGCACGTCCAGCAGCCATGGCCGCCGCTGGTCCATGCGTGGAGGTTCGTCCCCGGCGATGATGGGGGGTCGCTAGCTGGAAAGACTGCACGCCACAACTCTAGCTTCCCGCTTGACTCCGTGGGTGAGACAACCGATTGGTCCGGAGATGTCTTGCAAAAGAGTTCGCCTAGCTCGTCCTGCCGGGCGGCTGGCAGTCGCTCGCGCCAAGTCACTCACCCGTAACTCGCATCTACCTACCTAAGGTAACACCAAGCTCAAGCCCCCTGCATGGAATGGACATTGTGCTGCTACAAAAGCAAAACTCTGGTGGATGTAGTTGGCAAAGTACATCGGCAAACTGTGTCAGGTACCAGCTAATGGCTGGGAAACGCCAAGACCCTGGGCGAACTCTTTGGCAAGGCACCTCCGTACAATGGGCTCATTACTGCAGAACATCGTGTACAAGGTTCCGACCTCTTTGCGCACAACAGCGCAGAACAGAGTTGTGGATGGTAATTTAGAGTCATGGATGCGCAGATGGAGGGAGCAACATGCCTGGGGACTGGCATGGGGCCCCTGGCGAAGCTGCGTGAACCGACGGCTCGGCTTATCAGATTCCGCGATTCCCGGCCTCTCCATCACATCTGCCCTCCCCGAACAATGTGATCGATGATGCATGGCGATCCCGATCCCAGATTGCGTGGCCCTGCTGCTGCGTCTCGCGCGCAAGAAACCTCCGCCGGGGCGTCGAGACGCTGCAGGCCTGCAAGGATCCTGGTTGGGCATCCCTTTGCTTGAGTTCGACGGGTAAAGCGGCGGTGGACGATGGTCGAGGCCTCCGGAAACACATAGGGCTGCGCATCGTCGATAGGCGGCGCAGGCAAACTCAGATGCGATCGAGGTGACATCCTAGAGCCACACGCGTGCAGTGCCGGCGGCACGTCCAGACAGGGCGCCCCATGGCCCTGGGACTCCTGCACCACGGGCATATGCACTTTCCGAAACTGCGTCACCGGCAACCGGGATTCGTCCCCTGGGCCCTTGAGGACGCGACCTCGGGGATCCCTCTACCAATCAGGGGCCTCAGCCTGCGAGTCACTCAGGTTCATCCTTGGCGGAACGTCGAGTCTCGTCGTCGGTCTCGTGCGTGGTCAATGACTCGGCCTCTGTGTCTGCGGCATGCCGATGACGCGGCCGTCGTTGTTGAGCCCCTGAGATTATACGGAGGACCGGGTGGGTGTCTGGTAGATGAGATCAAGGCGGGAGCGGGCAGGGGATGCGGCAGGAGGGCTCGGGACGGAGAAACGCAGTGCTCTTGGCTGCAGTGCCGGGCATGGCTTGTTGGGACACAGGATCGTCGAGAGAAGGAGCTTGTCATGGCCGAGCTCGACCTCGAGTGCTTCTAGCGCTGCAGGGAAGTCTTCCGCACAAGGTTCTTGGAGGATGCAGCAGCACTAACCTCCAGGGAGCTGGCCCCCTCCCTCACATGCCAGCTGCTGCGGGGGAGCACGCCTCGTCCAGGTGGGGAAGGGGCCCCTGTGTGTGTGAGACACCGTTGGGCCGCCAGCAGCAACACGCCACGACAGCATCAACGGCGACAGCAACAGCAGCAGCAGCAGCAACAGCAACACCCGACCACTCCCACTCCCACTCAGGCTGCCGGCAGCATAGCACTAATCACCGCCTCACCACGCTCTATTACAGACCCCAGCAAGGTCTGATCGACCCCCCCCCGCCCGACCTCGACGACAGCGAGCCCCTCGCACGAGCCCGATCCGTCCCTGGCCACGAGTCGCAATCCCCTCCACCACCATGGCGGCCACCGTACCAGCCGATCTCATGGACGACCCGGCCCTGTACATCTTCACCTCCCTCACAGCCGGCTCCGCACACATCGTCACGGCCACCTCCCGCCTCGAGACCATCCTCCGGGCCAACAGGGTCCCCTTCAAGGCCCTCGATATAGCCGTCGACCCGCGGGCGCGCCAGCTCTGGGGCCGCCGCGCCGGCAAGGATCCCTCGGGCCGCGTCCGCAAGCTCCCCGCGCTCTTCCAGGAGGGGTTCCCCGTCGGTGTAAGTATTTTGCTCCCCCTCCCAGGCTTGAATGGGCGGATACAGGGATCAGGGGCTCACATGCTGTACTGGACACCAGGACCTGGTCGAGATAGAAGAGTGGAACGAGTACGGCGAGCTCAAGCAGCACGTCAAGATCTACCATGACGAGTTCACGATCCCGACAAAGGAGCAGGCGGCCGCCATGGTCCCGCGGATGACCAAGAAGCCCGTGGCCAAGCCCGTGACCAAGAGCGTCCCTGCCGCTGCCGGCAGCAAAACTGAGAACCAGAAACCCGCTGCCGCCGCTGCCGCCGCAGGCCCCATGCGCGGACTCGCCGAGGAGGCGGCGCAGAAGGCCAAGCAGCTCAAGAAGGAGCCCATCGTGGTGACGACAACGAGCACGGGCACGGCGAGGAAGACTGCTACGGAGAGCGCGAGCGCCGCCAAGCCTACAGCTGCAGCGAAGACGGCGGCTGACAAGAAGGACGAGCCCGCCGCGAAGAAGGCTGTGACCCCCGTGGCCGCCGCGACAAAGGGCGTCAGCAACCTCAAGATATCATCAGACGAGAAGAAGCCTGGTGCTGCAACTGCTGCCAAGGGAGACGCAACGGCCGCTGCCGCTGGTCTTCAGAGCCCGACATCCGGAGCGTGGAAGTCTGGGACTGGCGCAGTGGACTCCTCGGCAGCTCAGGCCCTGCAGAGTCCCACGTCTGGAAAGTGGGCGGCGGGTGCGACATCTCTGGCTGGAGCTGCTGCTACTGCTGGAACAGCCTCGACGAAAGCTACCCCTGCCGCTGGAGCCAAGAAGGCAGAGAGCGACGAGGAGGAGAGCTCGGAAGAAGAAGACGATGATGATGATGACGACGACGACGACGACGACGACGAGGATGAGGAAGACAGTGACGAGGATGAGGATGATAGCGATGAAGAGGCGGAAGGAGTCAAGAAGGATGTCAAGAAGGAAGAGCCCAAGAAGGAAGAGCCCAAGAAGGAAGAGCCCAAGAAAGTGGAGGCGAAGAAAGAAGAGCCGAAGAAGGTGGAGGTCAAGAAAGAAGAGCCCAAGAAAGAGGAGGCCAAAAAGGAAGTCAGCAAGACACCGGACACCAAGAAGAAGGCCGAGGAAGAAGACGACGAGGACGACGAGGACGATGATTCAGACGAAGATGACAGCGATGAGGACTCTGACGAAGATTCGGACGACGACGACGATGATGATGAGGACGAGGAGGACGACAAGACGAAAACGGCAGCGGCAGCGGCGAAGAAGACGTCTACGCCGACGGCAACAGCCACGGCTGCGAAGTCGTAGACGCCGAGCCGAGGATAGAGAGAAAGTAAAGCAGGCGGTATTTTGATTTCTGTCATGGTCTCAATGCAAAGCGATGTACATTTTGTAAGCGAAGCGAGATGTGTGTGTCTTGCGAGGCTGCATTTGCAGACGTTGATTCTGGACCTAGTGCTCGTCGTGATGGTGAAGAGGTGTTTGCTCACCTTCGTATTCATTGTGGGGAGACACACTCCGACGTGACTCCTTTGGGGCCCCGTACTCAGTCCAAACTCGGTGTTGTCTCGGTGTCGCCGGTGTCAGCACCTTGATTCAGCCGGAGTCGCAACGTACTGATGATAGGAAAGACACTCGACTCTGCCCGCTCTGCCAGGTCTTCAAAACCGAGCAGCCGGGCGTATCTCGACTATATCAACGACCTCCTGGGAACGGAACGGATGGTGCACATGTGCAAATCGTCCCTTTGAGTATTTGAAACCACCACCTGCAGCTTGATCTCGAGTACAAGGCATCTATCTATCAGTTGTTCTCGCGCCCAGCAACATCGCAGAAGCTTCCCATCCAGCCAAAATGGTCTCCCGGCGAGGCTTGCACATCTTTGCACACAGCACACAGGGAACAAAAAAAGGGACGAACCCCAAGTCCCAACACGCCGACACGACCACGATGGCACCCAGCTGGACCCCCCAAAAAGAGATCTATCTGGCAAAAGATGGGTACAATGGAGGAATCTAACCTCCTTTGCGATGGACTCGCGGGGAATCGAACCCCGGACCACTCCCATACGGCGTCGAGGCAGAGACTGGCGAACCAGCTCGCTGGTGCTAAGGGAGTATTATACCACTAAACCACAAGCCCGTGTGATTGGTTGAAGGTGGCGTGTACTATTGGATATTCTAATCACTCCTGCACGCATCTGCGTTTTGATGCTGGCTGGGAACGAGAAACACCCGCCCTGCCCTGCCTCTACCAGGTCTGGATCGTCTGAGGGTATATCGCCGGCTGTGAGAAGCCCAAAGACCCAGTATCGAGCATATGTATCTGGCACCGAACCAGCTCGCATCTGTCCACTTCGAGACTACTAAACATCCTCCTCATTTGCGTACGCGTCACAGTCTCGAGGAGGACAAGTACATCGCACCAGATGCAATCGTCGAGGTTCGATTTCTATGATGCACGGATATGTATATGCCAAAATGGCCTCGTGAATGATACCAGAATGCTCCCCATTCCTTTCTAGTACAGCCCCTCGTCATCGCTGGCCGTTCCATCCTGGAACTTGGCCACAGCTTTTCCTTTCCCTTTTCCGTTGATACCATCAGGTCCGCCGCCACCATAGCTGGCGAACCGGTCGTCACCATCATCCTCCTCCTCGTCGCTCGCCGTGGCGACAGCCTTTCCTTTGCCCTTGCCCTTGGACTTGCCCCTTGACGCGGGACGCATTGCCAGTTGTTGCGGCTGCTGCGGTGCCCCTGCAGCAGCATGGCCATTCGTCTGCTGTGGTGCTTGCTTCTTGTCCTTTGTACCCTCAAATGTGGCCCGCACCGTCTCGTAGTGCTGCAGCTCGCCCGCGCTGACTGACGGGATGAGCTCCTTGTGCGCCTCGAGGAAGTCCTGCTCAGTGACCATGACGGCAATGTCCTCGGCAGTGGCGTAGTGGTCGAAAAAGTTGGCCGTTGAAATTGGGTTTTGCCGACCGGACGACGCAGAGGGGTCCGCATTCAGAGCGCGAATCTTGTTATCGACAGAGGCAGCCTGCCGAGTAACAGCCTTGAGCATGGCATCACTGCAGAGGGCGTAGAAATCGGCACCAGTGTACGTGAATGGAAGCTGCTCTGCGACAGTAGAAAGCTGGAGCTGGGGGTGGAGGGTGAATCTACAATGATAACGTTAGTCACTCCAACAGTCAAGTGTTCGGGGCCTAAGCATACTTACTTCCGTGTCAAAGCTTCCATGATCTTCAGCTGTTTGTCGTGAGTGTCCGAGACACCCAGGTAGAGCATCTTGTCGAAACGGCCCGGACGAAGCAGGGCCTGGTCAAGCAGATCGGGCCTGTTTGTTGCACCGATGACGAAGACACCACCGCCGCCATCGTCTCCGCCAGACATGCCGTCGAGCTCAGCCAGCAGCTGCGACACGATACGGTCCATGACACCGCCACTGTCGCCCTGGTTGCCTCTCTTGGGCGCGACGGAGTCGAGTTCGTCAAAGAACACAACACATGGCCTCGCGTCTCTCGCGCGCTGGAAGACTCGTCGCACATTGGCTTCGGACTCACCAATGTACATGTTGAGCAGCTCAGGACCCTTGACGCTGAAGAAGTTGAGACTGTACTCTGTGGCGATGGCCTTGGCCAGCAGCGTTTTACCAGTGCCAGGAGGGCCGTAGAACAGGATGCCAGAGCGCTTCTTCATGCCCTTGGCGAACAGCTCCGGTCTCTCCAGGGGAAGCTGGATGGTTTCTTGGACAGCATCCTTGACGTTGTTCAGACCGCCAACATCGTCCCAGGTGACATTTGGAATCTTTGGCGCGCCAATCGAGTCTGCAAAGTTCTTTCGAGCGGCATCGACCGCGAGCTCGAAGTCACTCTTGATCAAGGAACGCGCAGCCGAGCCACCCGCAACGTGAATGTCGCGAACAGTGACAGCCGTGCCATCCTTTGAAGACTTCTGCGAAAGCTTCTCGAGTCTCGCCTCACGTGCTAGCACAGCTCGCTCTACGACGTCAACCAGATCGCCAGCAACAAGAGCGGCAGTCTTGATCGCAACACCGCTTAGCTCGACCTCTGGCGCGAGGGACACGCCGCGGCTCTCGATTATGCTACGCAAGATGCCCTCGCGCTCGCCCTCATCTGGGGCGCTCATTTCCAGCTCATGTGTGAACAGGCCCCGCACGCCGTCCGGCACTTTGTCGACCTCAGTTGTCGTTGCAATGAGAACTCTGGCATCCGCCAAGACCTCCTTCATCGCCGTGACCATGCGATCCGCAGTCAATGCCTCGAGATGTCTAATTAGCAGAGCGCAGCAGTCAGATCCGCAGCTCATTGCACGGTCCGCTCGAGCCTTGAGGAAGCCCTCAGTCTTGACATCACTTCCGCCGGCGCCACTTTCATTCACAATGTCATAGGCATCAATGGAGAAAGTGTGCAGACCAATGTCTGAGCAAGCCAGGGTCGCAGCCGTCGCCTTTCCAATGTTTCTTTGTGTCGAAACAAGCAGGATCGCCACCGGAGGCATCTTGAGGTGAATTGCTCTCTGGCTGGTTGCAGCAGCCATCAGCTCACGGAGGCGCCGCCGCAACGGCGATACAAAGCTTCGTGCGGGTTGCTGAACGGCCGGGGTGAGGGCATTCTGGCCAGGCTGAGGAGCCTCCTCTATACCGAGGTAACATGGCCAACTGCTATCTTTCGTACCTGGCAGGGTGCTGGTGCCGCTACCAGACTGCGCGATCTGGGTAGTGCTGGTGTCAACACATGCCACGCCTCCCCAGACATCCTCTTCCTCGTCCGCATCGTCGGTTGTCTCCGAGCGTTGCCGAGTAATGTGAGATATCCGGAACCACGCGACGCCGTCCGGTCTCGTCTTATTGCCTGACTGGGCGCGACTGGAAGCCTCAAGCGCGATAATGTCATCCACGTCAAGGCCGTTGTTGGAGGCTGAGGTGTCTTGTATGGTGCGCCCAAGCTGCGTGTCTATGGGGACGGCGACAATGTCGTCCGTCTTCACCACACGTATGCTTTTGGCGAAGTGGCTCTTCAAACCACCAAGAATCGCCGTCTGCAATGCCTTCTCTGATGATAAGGGGGTGCGAATCTGTTCGATTGTGACCTCCCGAGCATACGGTGGATGGGACGCGCCTGTGATCTTCGCTTGCCCCGGTCGAGGATAGGCGAGCCTCTTCAAGGGGGCGAGCCGCACATATGGCGTGTTTTCCAAATTAGCAATAAGTAGGGGCGACATGTATGCTGTGGGACCAGATGGCTTTTGGATTTGTGACTCGAAGAAAGAGGGCCTGCGAGCAGAATTGTCGTGCCTCCCACTGGGTATTCTTGTAACCATCCGCTGGGAATACCCCTCTGGCAGGCCATAAACTTTGGCAGGTCGACTCACAGACTCTTCGGCGTCCGAGTGGATGAAGCTCCCAAGTCCGAACAAGCCGCTGCCATTAGCCGGGGGCTCCTCAGCTGCTTCAACGCGAACCCAATCGCCGGAGAAGCATCCTATGCGTGTCAGAGAATTGATGTCGACATATATACGAGCCTCCTCGTCATCGGCGCCGGTCGGCTTGGGATGCAGCAGGTCTCCGGGGATGGGAGTCATGAGTCCTTGAGCTTTGAACAGACGTCCCTTGGGTCGGTCCGCCCTAGCCGTCGTTGCGGTGAAGCTTGAGAACACCGACCCTGGTGTGGCAATTCCATTGGTCTTCCTCCCACGGCCGATCGTCATCGGGGTGCCTGGCTGCATGGTGGAGAGACCGCTCACGTTGGTGACCGGCAACGCAGGGACCTGCAGGGAGATCATGTCATCGAGCGAGTCGTCTGACAGGTCATCCTCCTGCTCAAGATCTGACACTTCTGTCTCCGTCTCGGTCGCATCGTCGCCGGTGTCGGTGGGTGCATCGGTTCTGGACCGTTCTTCGGCAGCTGAGTAGAATTGGTCGTTTGCAGTGTCTTCGTCATCCTGTCGCACACCGTTCCGCAGTGCACGCACTGCCCGATCTTTCTTCGTCTGGGTGCCTCCCTTCGTCAACACAATTTTGGTTGTTGGAGTTAGCACACCTTGGGCGACTGGTTCACAGAGCGTGACGACGCCTGGAGTCGGAGGCGCGTGGGTGACGGAGTGCGGTGCCAACGGCAACGGGAACATGTCACCGTTGTGTACGACCTTCAGAGTGCTGAGAGATACGCGCAGCGCCGCAGCCAGCCGGTCTGCAGGGCTGTCGGACGCGACAACATCAAGACCCTTGGGAGGATGCTCGCTGAAGAAAGTGCCCTCCCCATTCTCCAGGCGCTTGACGAGGTCGCTCTCCAGGCTGACAAAGACCGTGTCGAGGGCCAGGGCAGTCACATCAAGGACGTAGACCTCGATTCCACTGCGGCTGTGGCTGGACAGTTTCGAGGGCGCGATGCGCTGGAGGGTTGTCGCGAAGCTCTGGAGCGCCAGAGAGGACGGCGAGAACTGGACGGTCGAGTGCGCCAAGGCCGAGGACTTGACTATGGGGACAATGGTCCAGTTGGAGTGCTGTGGGCTTGACGTCGGCGTCCACGGCGCAATGGCGATGTGGTAGACGTCGGAGATGTCTGTGTTGCCGGAATCGGCCGCTTCGTCTGGAACGGGCAATCGATCGTTTAGTTGGGGGCTGTGTTGCTGAGGAGTTAGGCAGGCTCTTCAACATACCTTCGCGCAGATGAGGGAACAGATCCGCGAACAGATCATCCGAGAGGATTCCGACATCGCCTTTGACATGGCCATCCAGGACTAGACGCGCCGAGATGGCCGACTTGTCCTGTCTTCTCCTGCGGCGCCTCCTGCGCGAGGGATCGGGGGAGCGTGACGGCGCCGCCATTGCGTGTGGTAGTGGGGCAACTCTGTCGTGGTCTGTAGACCTTCAGCTTTCGTCTCTGGCCGTGAGAGTCATGAACTGATTGGAAAGTAACGGGCGCGCAACTGCGGTCCGATGCTGTGCCTGGCTCGAGGCGGAGGCGATTCGCGACTGTAGCGGGTTTCCGGGTATTGCAGATGCCGATGTGCTGGACCGCGGGGGAAAAGAATGGGCAATGCAGACGCCCAAAGAGCACAAGGTGAGGCGAGGTGAGGGTGGAAGGGCGCGAGTGTAGAAGCAGCGGTTCGGAGTCTGGT